ACAGAACCGTGTATTGTTCGTACAGGTTTTCCGGAAAGTTCGTACACCACATTAAAGCATCGTTATTTATGTTACATCAGACGATATAAACTCGTTATATTGACGTAATAAATGTATATTTTGAAAGTTAACGATAATTGATAAAATCAGAGTGATCTAGACTCGTAACTAACAATAAAAAGGTAAACTATCGATCGCTGAGTAGGCCTGATCGTTGAATTTTTTTCAGGATACTCGATACACGTTGGGTATCTGGCTCATTTGTTATGCCCTGATAGAAGCCACGGGGGCAACAACAGGAGAGTTATACAATGAAAGTAAGCAAGGAAAATTGTTGTTGTTAATTTCTCGAATAAGTGTAAGAAAGGATATAGACTAGTCTCCTAGTATATTTCTTATCCGAGGCTGTGCCCATTAGTCGAAATGTGTTGACCCTGTTACATATAGGGTACACTTTTTTTTTTTACGTGTAGTTGTCCGACTAAACAAAATTGAAATGTTTAGAAAGTTCCACTTCCGAATTTGTGCACACACTTTCGAGAACCGATGTAATGCTATAGCTTAATTTGAAGACTGGTTCTGCTCAAATCCACCAAATACCGCCGATGTAACAGCAGTTAGAAACTAAAAAATATATGTATTTTCGCCATGGACGAGTTCATTACATTTCTATTTTAAGTGTATTAGTATTTTTTTTCAGTCACGACAGGTTTCTATATAGCTAGCTGTGACAAAGACACTTATTATAGGTTGCGGGTCACTTTAGGAAGTTGGAGCAGTTTGAAAGTACATGTATAACCAGTAATGTTTCAGAAAGTGTTAAAACTACAAACGTATCTTGACTACATGGCATAGTAAACAAGCTTCCAGTTTTACAACCGATAGGTCACAATATTCTAGAAAGACAGAAGAAACCAAAAATATATTAAACCTATGTTATTTTATTTTAGTATTTGATAGATTAATATAAATATACTACATAATAATAAGACATGTTCTTTTGTTAGAGAAAGTAAAAGTTGAAATACTAAAATAGCAAAGTTCTAAAATGGGAATTGTTGTGGAACGCGTACGAGTTGGGATTAATAAAATGTTTCATCCCCTTGGGGTGAGATATATAGAATCATTCACCCCCTTGGGGGTGAGATAGAGGAATCTTCCCCCTCGGGTTGAGATTCCCCTATCTCACCCCCAAGGGGGGTGAATGATTCTATATTTCTCCCACACCTGACAGATTTATCTCCCGTTTTGCCGGTGCTAGATTTATCTGTCTCCGCCCTAGGGCTGAGACGGGGGGATTCCCCTATTCATAACAATGGTGTGACGTCACTTCAACAATACAATAACGTCACGTCAACAATCCATCAACAACGCGCCAACCCTGAATTTAGCATGTAACGTTGTCATTACATTGTGTATATGATACACATCGGAAGAACAGGGTAAGAGAAAAAGAATCATTCACCCCCTTGTGGGTAAGATAGAGGAATCTAAACCCTCGGGAAAAGATTCTTCAGTTGCCAAACACTCGGTTTAAGGGGTTGACGTGTGAACCAAACTGCTTGAAACTTCGGTGAATAATCAAAAAGTGTTGGTATCGGTCCCGGATTAATCTCAGACTTTTAGATTGAAAGCCTATCGACGACATCAATCGTGGATCTCTCACTTGTGACGAAGCTGCCTGGTGCAAAATGGTTTTGACAGAGTCTTGTGTGTAAGGTTGGAGAAAATCCCTTTCTCTTTACCTAAATTGTCCATGTTTTCCGCATCTTTTTGTCCTTTGGGAACAGGAACATACTGATTTTCTCTTCATTATTGGAATTACTGTTACAGTTCAGCGCAGCACAATGTACCGTGTTTGTTTACGTTTTCCGGACGACTGCCTCTGAACTGACAGCTTGCGCGCTTTCCGGTCGTCACAAATGACGTCACAGCCAAAGGGAAGTAACTGCGTACATCCTCTGTGCTTCCCAAGGTGTACGATTAAACGGGCCGTTTTCAAATAATAAATTATGCACAAATACGGATTTTTTTTTTTGAAAAAATAGAATGACAACTAATTATAATATGTTTTATTAATATTTTGACACTAAATTTGACGTGTTTTAGCATTTGGTGGTTGTTCACCTTTAAGTGTTGACACTCCTATCATACACTCATACTTAACAGTCGAAATATATACACTTTATCCAACCTCGCTATATACATGTAGCTGACATATAAGCTTGAGGTTTTCTCCATACCTGTACAGGATTTAAGTTCTTTTACATCAACCGAATTAAAGAAATAGTTCCTTTCTGATACAAAAATCGTTACAAGAATAATGTTGTAACGAAATGTCACTTATGACCCTAACAAATTAAGAATAATGAAATATTTTTCACTTTTGACTGCAATTTATGGTTATTAAATTACTAAATTTTTTACCCAAACAATCTGAAATTTTTCACGTAATTGTTGTGTGATGATCACAACAAGGCAACGCTAATGGAATATTTTTTGATGCGGAACATTTTAGCTCCATTAGATATGAAAATAAGTTTTGTTATTTATTATTTAAATCACTTTGGAAGAATATACACTTGAGCACGAATTTTCAGGGGCAATGTGTTACGGGTATGTTGCTTGTAATTTTTTTCAAAACATTAGTTTATTTTCGTATATGACAGCTACTAACCCTAACAGCTTGACAGCACAACAAATTGTTTCAAACGTTTTGATATTATCAGAAAATGGTAATTTTAAAAATCATTTAAATCGGATGGAAACCATTTGTCATGATTACCGTAGTAACATACTCAATGAAGCGTTTGCTTATAGGTACTGTAAGTTATACGTGTATATTACGTAATGAGTTAAAATGACTTTCTTGACTCCAGAAATATTTTTTTAGAAAGCTTTGATACATTTTGTATAAGGGGTTTATTTCTTTATAGGGGTTATGTTATTGTTTTGTTTATTTTGTATAATTACTTATAAACACTTATTGAAGTGCAGACTATATTCCATCCTCGATAATCCGGGAGTTGCGGTCACCTTCTTTCTTTGTACCCATGGAATATGTCAAAGCAAATGTGAAGGCACGCGGCTAGCTATTTGATTAGCCTCGATCGCATGCTGATACCTGTCCTTTGACGATAGCAAAGGAGCGACCCCCGACTTTAAAGCTAGTAAAGTTTACCGTGATGCGACCACAAGATTCGTTTGGTGTACAATCCACAAGGTGACGCACACTGAGCCGCCTTCGATCAGCTATGACATAATAAAGGGGTTAGTCCCAGTTTCCTTTATCCCCGACACCAGACATAGCCAGAGAGCGAAAGTGAGCGTATCGAGGATGACAATACTCTGGTCCTTTATCATTAGAGTATATGTTATCAGCTTTAGATGTATTATCAAGTGTATGGCAAGAGAGCGGTGATAAATGTATATATGGTTTATCACTGTGGGTTCATGTACCTGAAAACAAACATAACCTGAATAATAGGACTTAATCTCATTCGAATATCTTGCTATCAAGTATGTTTGACGTCACAAAATGTACCTGCATGCAAATGGAGAAAGCAATGGTCTACTTTAAACTGCTGCATACTTTTCTGAGGCGACTAATGTAGGCAATTTGTCGATCGATTGTCTAAAAAGTTTGAACTGATTGGGTGATTATCTAGCACGTTTTGTCCAACGTGTTACAGTAAAGTAAGAGGAATTCAATATTAAGGCAAACTCTTGCGTATCGCATCGTCTTCAAACACAACCATGGCATACCTCTCTTGCTGGCGTTAACTACAAAAGAATTTAACGAAAAAAAATAATCTTCTTGACAGTAATACTTCTGCAATAAAAAAAAATGTTTACATGACAGTTTAGTAATCTTTTGCGATTTAAATTTAAAGAAAATGTTTCTTGCTCCTGTTGTTGATCTATACTTGTTAAGCTCCATTGAACAGTGTCTGTTATAGCTGCGGGAATACCAAAGGTGTCTACCTTTCAATGATAAAGCGCGTATTCCGTCTTTGCGTTTTGCAGAGTTATCTTCTCTTGTGAACAGGTATTGATTGTTACGTCATTTGTTTGTGAGATTAACGTCATCAATTTTTGAGAAAACGACGTTATTTTCTCACACAAACCAATGACGTAACAATCAAAACCTGCTCACATGAGAAGATAACTCTGCAATACGCAAAGACGGAATAGAAATGAAAGAGGATTGGGACCACGTGTTGGCCAGTTATATGTTAGAAACGGAGGAGGCACAAAATAGTAATAATTAATTGATGAAAACCATACAAGTCAGCTCTTTATCTGTTATCACATAGTTATATATACAGAACAGCATAAGGGGAATCACTGCAGTCGGACATCACATAAAATACAACATGAATACATTGTATAATGACCAATGACATTAAGACAACTACACTCGAAAACTGATGAAAGCGTTTGTTCGACGCTGGATAAACCATTCACGAATATAGCAAACAGTATATTGCATGCCTTCTACATCTCAAGCAAGTACATGCAAACTTGACGAGTGCAATATTCAATCAAACAGTAAAAAACGTTATGCTATATCATATCCAACGCCATTGATAGTTACTGTATAATAATTGCATCACAGGTACATTGCGTCGTAATCTCTTGTTTTATTTCTATTATTTTATTTGGCATTACAATGAATTCACTTCAAACAGCAGTTCGGGAAAAAACACCCCGTATTTGTTTCGAACGGCATTTGTTTAGTGATGTTATTGTTGTTATGTATATATTGGTAGATTCTTGGACACGTTAAAATGCAAATAAAATGATAAAAATACGGGATCCCTGTCCCAGGGTACCCGTGAGTAACATTACCATACCATCAACAGTATATGATGATGACCATACGTAAATAGCAACCGTAAATATGTAACATTAAAGTCAATAAAGAGATTGCTATCAGATAACTTATCTAGTCAAATTTATCTCGTAGATTACTTATACATCAGTACACATGCACCCATTGTATGATAAACTGACCACTGTAACTCGACTGTGAACATGACGGGTCCACTTCAAGTATTGCTCCTCCTAGGAACCGCTTCTCTCCTCCAGGCATCATGCCCGACTATCCCTATAATAGCCGACTTCGACATTAACCGGGTAAGTCATGATCAGTGACCTGAGAATTTGTTATAGCTTTGTTTGGACCTAAACTGAGGTGTTTGGAGTAATTTCACATGTTTAATTGGTCATGATCATTTTACGAAAAAAAAGACCACCTCCAGCGATGGTACATATGTACCAGTATACTCTTATGAACATCGTTGGGGTGACGTTTTTACCAAAAACTGATCAAAACCACTAAAACTTGTAAAATTACTGTAAAGACCAGTTTTTCTACGGTCCTTTTGGTTCATCCCATCCACAACATCTTCAACATTAACAAAATTACACTCAGCTTTTTACAAAGAAAACTGCAAGAACAATGGTATGGACACCAAACTAAATGATCTGCACGTCTCTGTTTCTTAAGAACCTTCAGAAACGAAGTTTATTTAACTGCAGTTTCTCTTTTTTCAATTTCGTCAATAATCATATGCACCTCAGATTTTTGACATGTATTGACAGTATGCGGGCACTTGGTACGAGTCGGAAAGGTTCGACAATCCATTCGAATGGTACACAAGATGTGTGTCGGACACGTACATTACACGTGAGGATGGCAGTTATACTGTCCTTTACAACAGGATAGGTACATGGTAAGTAAACACACGTGTCCAACACGTACACTACTTCATGGTGAGATGGACGCGTCAATGGCATTGACAACACGAAAGGCACATGCTGAAAGCACAAATAAAAGCAACACATTGAATTCTACTGTATTGTCTTCCTTCTCAAAGTAGCATGTTGATTGTGAACATGTAACATTGCACACAAAGACTTCCTTTAATTAAAAAGAAAAGCCTATAAATGAAAGCATTACTATTGTTATTGTTTATGTTGATAATACTGTAGGACGGGATCGAACAGAACGACGGAGGGCACCCTTGACCTTTTTGATGATGTGCACCCCGGCCAGTTCAGAGCCTCGTTTGCAGGATGTAAGTCGCCTCCAATGCTGGAGTCTTTGTTTTTTTTAACAAAAGTAAAGTTTATTCTGGTTTACGTATATATTACAATGGTGTTTTTAAATGCTTAGTTTTGTGTGCTTATTTATACAAATGCGGAAAACAAATGTATGGATCAGACTCCGTATATTTGCAACAGAATAGATAATACGACTTGTCACTACTGAAATGGCAGTTTGAATACTTTTAAAATAATATTTATAACTCAAACATTGTCACTAATATACTCACAACGCACCGCTGTCGGGATCTGGACTAAAACAGAAGACTTTATTTTCTAAGTTTATTTCATTGGTCAACGCCGTAATCAAATACAGACCATAGCACATTGTTTGCCATGTGATGAAGGACACGCGGCCGGTAAAGTCCGGATTCATAATCCTAACACCTAAGGTCCAGGTCAACGACATATATAGGATAATACCACTATATACGTCTTCCATGTACCACTAGGAAGTTGCCTAATATTTCATAATTTTATTAACAAAAACTAAAACATTTCAGAAATGATACAACTTTATCACAAAAGCCTTTATCACAAAAAAACGTAAATCGTCACAGGGACATAACGAAAATAGCCTAAAATCTGCCTAATTTTATTGAAATCAGCAAACATATTTCTATCATGCCGATTTTGATTTAAACATATTTTTATTTGCATCTAATATACAAAAAGGATTGGGCACAAGTTGTCCAACTTATGTAAAGCCCTTTCCCTATAACATAATGAAATATATACATACAAGATGGCAATTTTTAAATTAATTAATATTTTGAATTAAGTTCAGTTTTACTGACAGAGAGAGAGTGTGAGAGAGAGAGAGAGAGAGAGAGAGAGAGAGAGAGAGGGGGGGGGGGGGGGGGGGGGGGGAGGCTTGAAGATCTTTAATTTGAGATCGTGGTAGTGATCTTCTCCGACACAGACGGCACCAGTAACACTGTCCACTATTCAAAACACTCTGCTTTTCTAATGTTCATCACTTCCCGTGCCTCTGTTGCCATCTCCTTGTAAATTCGATTCCTTCTGGTATGTTCGTTTCACTAGTGCCTTTTGTATCGAGGAAGACCAGAAACACGACTCTGCAACGAGATCCGTCTTTCCTACAGTTACGTTTGTCAGATCGATTCATCAGAGCTCGTATACATGAAACTGTTCTCAAGCTCAAGCATGGATTTTGTGCTCCAACCAACTTTCTTGTAACTTGCTTAAATTATGCCAAACGATCAAAAGGTTAAATGTAAACATTGAAAACAGCATTTGGCTTTAAATCTCTTCAATTTCTTTCCATATCATTGACAAAATAAGATTTCATTATTAATTTTTTAACGAAACAAGAAATTAGGCTTAAGCACAAAATTCATGCTTGAGCATGAGAACAGTTTCATGGGATACGGGCCCTGATGTTTTGAAAAGACATGCCGCGGCAGATTATAATATCAGAATACAAATAGTGAGCGAATGCTTTCTTCTATTACTGTAACAGAATCTTTCCAACAAGTATTCAAAACTTTAAATGCTTGTTTGATTTTAAAGACGGTTATCAAACTAATTCAAGTAATTGAAAGAACGAATGCATTGTAATACCACTGACTAAGATAGCAGACTAAGTATTCCTGAACCATTACGTCTTTATCATTATAAAGAGTGGATATCTCAAACTCACATATATATAATATCCTGGATATATAAACCGGGAAATTTTCGCTCAGGCAAACTTTCGCCCTTCGCCCATGGGTACAATTTTCGCTTAGTTTAATCTCGCCCTTCCCATTTGATAACTATGTATGTCATGATGTTTACTTATATTCGCTGTAATGATAAATTCACTCTCATTACACAGGGCAAAAACGGGTGAAATTAAACGTCAGCGAATGTAACCCTCTATACAGTAATATTGATGTTTCTTTGTTACCAGGGCTACCATCAGGGAACTACTACGTCATAGACACAGACTATGACAACTACTCCATCGTGTACTCGTGTTCTGACGTATATGGATTCACGCACGTTGGTAAGTACCCAGACAAAATTATAATGCACTGAGGCTCATTGAAATAATTTACACTGAATGAACAAATATCGTTGTTGCTGCCTTAATTTGCCATTCCATGTGAAATTATACTACTGTACAGCTGGTAATATTTGCGGAGGATTTAACATCGCTATCTTCGCAGTCACCAAAGATAGCGCGTAATTAATTACACAGAAAATACTCATACCATGAACTATAAACTCCGTAGATATATATTTACAGACACCAAAGAAAAAATATGTTTGCGATTTAACTGTGAAATACTGATGATAGAAGAAAACTTCAATATCGTATTTACACAAATTACCAGTTAGTACATCCCATCATCAAAATACATAAGTATCCCAGTGAGCGGCATCTTTTTACCTAGCCCAACATATACATATATGTATTTGGACAATATGACACACAAAAGACGATAATGGCATATGTTTAGACTATAAAATGAACACTTACAAAATGATAACACAAATTTAAAACTAACTACACATACATAATAATAACACCACATTCCAAGACAATTACGACAGACATTTACATATTTGGCAACTCACTAAACTTTGTGACAAATGATGACATCTATTTCGCGATAGTTAGCTTTCCTTTCCTCAGCAGTTACATTCCGGCCTCCGGTGCGTACTTAATTTACATGTCACAGTCAATCCGCTTATACAGAGCCAGTTCTATGTATTGTATAATAGATAAATCATATCCAGTTGATCAATAAACAATATGTACAGGGTTTTCCACCTGAAACGATTAAATGCACATTAATGAATTGTAGGGTTGTCAGCATGAACTGTTCCAGGTAAAGGGACTACAGTATTTTACATCATACCAGGAATTGTTAGTCGTATCTTAGATCGTTGGTGACCTATAGACTTTCTTTGATTCTTACGACAGAAATAATGACGGATGTCATATGTAGTGCATGAAACGTTTACACTTCCGGAGTAACTGGTCTCTCCTCTAGTTTGAAGAGCTGAGGATGCTTCATTTCTTTCTGTTTCTTGTTTGTGTCCGTTTAATACCTGTTGTCGTTATTCATTTAACGTTAGTGATTTGCATTGTTGTCGTTGGTTGTTGTGGTGTATCGACTTAACGATGTGATACATTGTTTTCCAATTTTGTATTAAATGAAGTTCCATTACAAATAGCTACTTTTAAACGCAATATTGACATTTTACAATTTTCCTGATGTTTTTTTTTATCAAAATCGACACATCACCACCTGTTCAAAACTTCTGCATTACATGATGTAGTTGACAAATCCAAATTCAATGTACTAATTCTGTTGTTTAGTGCGGGATATATCTATGTTGTATTATCATAACATGTTTACTATTTCAGAACTGGCTTGGATTATGTCCAGAGAGAGAAATGGTGTGACCCGCCGCCAGAGGTCAAAGTTGTACAGCCGATTATCAAGTCTGGGGATCGACACTACTCAGTTCATCGAGTCCGACCAGACCGGATGTGACGCATAATCACGTGGTTTACATCCCACGGCGTTGAAGTTCAATTATTCCTACAAATGTCACTGTAGATCACTTCTGTGTATTTCCCTTTGGAAATATACACAAATATAGATATAGTAAAGCATCGTATCGGTTGTTATTTTATGATTTGCGAATTCATGATCGTATTAACGTCTTTTCAATACCATATGTCAGCATGATGACAAAACATTTCCCAACAACAAATCTGTAATTAGAAATGAAACGGAAATGTTCTTTTATGTATTTGACATGAGGTTGACATATTAAAATACAAATTCACATGATACGTCGTTTATACTAGCACTGAATTGAAATCAAATATATTTTCAAGATCACAGACCTATAGCAAGAGTTCATTCGAAATAGTTTGTGCTGTGTGTGTACATTAAAATTTAAAGAAGATACATGTAGGTAGCTTCAAATATTGCAAATAATGTAGAATCTACATTACTGTTTAACAGTGCATATGCTTCAATCTAGAATTTGTAAACAAATCTAAATTGTAATCTGAGTGGAGGTGAACAAACAATATATTCTTTCGTGCGTTTAGGGATCGTTAGAGAGTGCGGTCCCTGTACTTTAGATGTTGACAAATAGTGATATGTCTCGAGAGTTTCACTTCAGTCTGATAAATAAAATCAAAAGTTATAACACATCGTCAACGAATAATGTCATCCAAACTTTTAAAATTCGATACGAGCAGACAACTAGAAATCGTGAGAGATAAAAATGATATTCATAGACACCGTGAGTCTACACACAGAGGAGACGACAAAAGGGACTTCGGTAGGGTATATAAAAACATTCTCTACATCGAATGTGGTATCGGTAATTGTGACATCCATGATCCTCTAGCGGAAGTATCGAGATGATCAACAATCTAAGACACGTAGACTAACGAAGTGAACGGGTACTCAATACGGATAGCTATTTATTTCTCGTAGTTTGAAAGCAGGTGGTCAATATTTCAGATTTAGATTGAAGCATCTCGGGTAAAACAAACTCCAACGTTAAACCCTCGGGTACATATGTAACGCCCTAGATAGCAACAGCTATATTTATACACTGATCGTACGATTATCTTTACCAGTCATTTTGCAAAAAAAATCGTATGTGCATGTTTATTCTATTTTAGTTCAGGGTCATTTTCAATGGTGATATTATCAGTTTGAAATTCAAAACATACATTTTTTATTATGTTAGATCTTAACACTTCATAGTGGTTCTCTCTTCGGGCACTAGGGAGATGTCCTCGATATAACCCCACTCCAGGTGCGCCCCGCAGGCCGTGTCGTCGATATAACTCTACTCCAAGTACCTGCCGAGTAGTTGTACAAAATGTGATCAACTTAATGAGTTGTTCACTTAACAGCTTTGCATCTCAATTTTTACCGGTTATAAAAATATTGTTATGTTTCCCATCTCCATACGATTAGTGTTATAAAGAAGACATGAAGGTTTACTTTTCATTAGAATATTTGATAAAAAAAATTGCAGGTATACAGCGTTTTTAACGTATTCAAGCTGACAATACTTTGAACAAAAAGTAACACGTAAATTTTTTATTACAGGTATATTTACGGGTATTTCTAACTTGACAACCTACATGAAGTTGTAAAAAATTAATGTGTCGTATGTAGGTTGGGGAATGATATTTAATTTTAAATAGAATAAATCTATTCTCATTGTAATTGCTTTTTAAGTTCCCTGGCATACACAAGGAATCCGGGACTGTTTCCGTAGGCAGTTTTTCATTACTGTTTATTGCACAAAAGTGATGGATCTATAAGTGTTAATGAAAATTGAAGAGAAAGTCAAGTAGTTTTGATTAAATGTGTTTATGTCCAGCAATTGTATGTACGGTTGGGTTGATGATCTCCACCTTGACCATAATTAGATCAAAGAAACACACACATGCTAACAGAATCAGCCCTGAAGGCATGATGCGAATGGACCAAATCCTAGAAACATGGATGTTGTTTTCTGACAATGTCCGATATAGCTATAATTTGTTTCAGGGTAAGGATTTTAAATGTTTTCAAGTTATGATCAATATCCCTACCAGTGCACACTCGCCCCATGGCAAATTGTGGTTGCACTAATATATATATATACATTTGTCTAATCATGTCGACCAGAGGTATAAATGGTTATAAGATGGGAAATCGTTTTGAAGTTATGATCAAATTTCCCTCATTCTCTCTTCTGTCCCCAGAGCCCAAGAGCAAAATTTGACAAATCCCTTTCTTCCCACAGAAAAAGAAAGACTTAAGAGGTTAACCTCTATGCGGTCTCGTCCCTCAACACCTAGAGAAGCCACACACTTCGTTTTTAAAAAGCCCATGAAGTCCCTTTGCCCTAAAGTTGTTCCTGAACGAAATTGCGCAATACCCCTTTAATCTTACAGAAGAAGAAGGATTAAATAGGTTAACTTTATTTCTTATTTGGCCTCGCCCCTCACCCTCAAGGAAGGCTACACACTTCGTTTATAAAAATAAGTCCCACTGTGATAAGATTGTTCCTGGAGAAAATTTGACACAACCCCTGTAATCCTACAGGAGAAGGATTTCAAAGGTTTACTACTATTTCTGCTATTTGGCCCCGCCTCTCGCCCCTTAAGGGGCGACACCCGTTGCTAAAGTTGCTCAGAGCAAATTAAGACAAATTTTCTTCATTCTTCCATGATACGGATTTACCCGGTTTACCACTATTTCCGCTATTTGGCCCCATCCCTCTGCCCTCGTCAATGGGTAGCGGGTCGGGACCTTCCACTTATACAAAATTGATTAACCTTGTCAAAAGTTTGCTCCAGAACAAATTCTGATAAAATTTCTTTATTCCTACTGACGAAAAAGGGTCTTGAGTTCTGTTGCTTCTACTAGCCCCGCCTTTCTGGCCCCGGAGAGACCACACCCTCCATTCATACAAAATTGAGTTCCGTCGGCCAATCATTGCTTCAGTCCAAAATCAGCCAAAGCCATTTACCATTCAGGAGTAGTGGGAAAAGATGATGGACGGGCGACGGACACCGCGACACGGCACAATCTAGCATTGCATTTTGGGACAGCTAATGTGTTTCTAGTGTTATTAACGACCTTTTAATTATATGATATCGATATGTCATTACAGCCAATAAGTAGATCGCTTATCTAGTCAAATCTAACTTTTATATTACTTGTACATCAGAACATATGCACCCACCAATGGTTGATTACCTGACCACTGTAACTCGACAATATAAATGACGGGTCCACTTCAAGTATTGCTCCTCCTAGGAACCGCTTCACTCCTCCAGGCATCATGCCCGACTAACCCAATAATAACTCTTCGATGTTATTTGTACAAAGTTATGCTAAAATAATACACTGTTAGTTCCCATTGTAATATCGACAGTCTGACAACAAATTCAAATTTACCATGTTGCCAGTATAATTAATTCTTCTTCGGATTAAGCTGAACTATCCATGAAATTCAAGGATGATTCGAGTAAACTAGTCTGATGTCTTTGGTGAAGATAAAGGAATCACGATGTAGTGTAACGGTAAAGTTGACTGGCTTTGATACCAGGTGTTGATCACTTGTAATCTTCGAAGGACAGTAATCAGCCAAACGACGGGTCAGGCTGATAATTTGCTTGAATCTAATCAAATTGCTAACCGGGTGCCATCGTTTTTGTCATGACAAAGGCCATTCCAGGGGTACAGAGAACGTAGTAAGCGTAACCCCTGGAATTTTCAGGATTACGAGACCATCGACTTTCCCATAAAATTGTGAATGGGGCTTGTGGCTATACCTGTAGGTCACTCTTGACTGCAACAAATAATAAGACCAAATAAAAAAGCAATGAAAAGTGTACATCAATATTTTCAAGAACTCAGTTTGTTCGGGAACCACCGCTGATTGGAACAACCTTCCTGAAATCTAGTCAAAACACCTGACATCAAAATCTTTAGAGCTCTATATTCTCAACAACTTAAATCCTAATCGCACTCCTCCAACCCCGGAGTTACTCTCGGAATCGAGGTCTTCCAGTATCACACAGATGCTAACATGTATATTGGTTGTGTTGTAAAGTAGGTATATATATATATCGTAATAACGCTCACTTTTGCTCTCTGCACCCCTGGAATATTTCGTAGCAAAATCGAAGGCTCTCTGATCCGTATGCCAAACCTTTGGGATGAGACGTTGAATATTTGGTGTCTAACGATCGCGGAGTGGTAAAATTGACATACTTTGAAGTTGGGTGTCGCTCCTCTGTAATCTTCAAAGGACAGGTATCAGCCTTAGGTGTTCTGTCAGGGTTTTTACCCGAGACTAATCAATAGTAGCCTTCAATTTTGCTATGACATATTCCAGGGGTGCAAAGAGCGAGTGTGAGCGCAACACCAGGGGTATAGAGGATGCACAAAGGGTTTCCGTGTGGTACTTTTCGAAGGAACACGTACTAGCCTCGTCTGTCAATACATCCATAACATAAAATTATAGTATGGGTGTACTGGCAGACGAGGCTAGTACCTGTGGTTGTCATGAAACCTTCTGCACATACATATAGACCGAGCATCAACTACGTATATATACCCGGTCATGTCTGATTTTCAACATGGCCGCCAGCATGGGCAGACGACACATCTACCTCCATGGAATTCTTGTATTTGTATAAAACTATATACAGAAACATGGCGGTAAGCCATTATCTCGCTATCTGAATTTTAAAGGCATTTTCTAGGAAACAAAAATATATTGCCGCTTTAACCAACTTTATAGGCTCTGGCTATGATACAATGAATAACATAAAAAAAATATTTCAAATCAATTTTGGTAAAATAATTTATTGTTTAAACTTAACATTAAATATAGATGTATATACAATAAATTCTCACAAAAATCAATTATATTAAAATACATATTCATCCAACTTCTGTACATGTCTTTCTCCAGAACCGTTTGATAAGGATGTCGGCACTGCGGAAGTGAGAATCCTGTCTCTCTAAGGGGATATCTTCAACGTTAAATGTTTCCAACATCAGCTGCAACAAATATCAGAAAATCTAAAATAATTCAACTGCTCATTTCCAAGTATTCGAGATTTATTTCAGTTACTAACAACCTACGCAATATTATGCTTTTCAAAATTGGTTGATTGTTGTTTGAAAGTTGAAAATATTAATTGATATTTTATCAAAGGATGGGTGCCATAATTGAAAATTTTACAGCCGCTGATTACAGATAAGAATTTTTATTTTTGCAAGAAGATGCCTGTAGGTCTGGCCTACATAAAGAATATTGTAATAAAATCCATTCAATTGGTACTCTTTTCGAGGTATTGGAGGTCAACAGAGGGGCAGTAAAATGTCATATGTTCCAAGAAATTCAATACCGTGTACCAAGGGAGATAATCTCGTGTCCAAGATGGCGGTCTACCAGAATCGTAGATCTTTTCATGACAAAAACTTGAAATTGCTTACACTTATGTATTCTGCGCACCCCCTTCTTTGGGCATTAAATTTCTCAAAAACAAAGTGCGCAAATTACACGATTTTTCACGGTATCCATTCAAATCATTATTTTAGTCAAAATCAATTATTCAGATATGTTTTCACAATATAACATAAAAAAAAAAAAAATCAAAACAAGAATTAATTGCTTTTAATTCCACTCAAAGTGAACCCTCATTTTGAACATAAAACCTGTTAACTCCCAGAAGGGATATATATACATATGCAAGACCACACACTTGTGTTTTTCTAACGAATCAGAGTTTATTGCGCGGACGAATACATTCACGAGTGCGCGGAGCGCAACGAGTGAATATATACGTCCGCGCAATAAATGAGTTTTTATCACATACTTTCCGTATTTGGTAGAGATCGATACAAAGATTTTATAAATTTTGATATTTTTTGCAAATACCGGGAACTTTTCAGTTCGCCATGACAAGAGGATTCCCATAAAATGTAGTTCCGGCTAGTAGATAAATACAACATTTCGTATTGCACATGTGCAATACAGAACATTGTATTTCATGGTCTGAAAATTGCTTGTATTACTTTAACAAGATTCAACAGGTATGTGATAAACACCGATACACACACTTTGACGCCAAATATATCCAAAGGGGTCACACCGATTTCTTTTATTCAAATATAGCAATTAACATGCAAAAATAAATGCATATCAATGAGGAGTCATAACAGCTGAATATGACACCCATCCTTTGTATAAATATTAAGACATACAATGGAAACGACGGTAATCAAATTAACAGCGTTGATTCTTTCTCAACGACTGAATAAGTTGAAAAAGTTTTGCTAACATTGTGTTTATTAATCATGCCATGTCAGCTTAAGGAGAGTGTGAGCTTTAAGCCCTGGTTTATTGAATCTGAGCTAAATGCCCTGCTTATTGAGTCATTGGGCTAATTGTCCTGGTTTATTTTGACAATTCTGTTAAGTGGTTTAGTGAGTCAGTGAACCTATCTATAATTACCTCTAAAAACTTGCGCTCCAGTTCAGGTTTATTTCCTGTAGTTCTCTGCTCATAACAGCATAACACAACAGTTGTGTCTGAACATAGAGAACAGATGGATTCTACCAAAGGACTAAGGGACTGCAAAAAACAAACAAGCAAGAAATTACTGAAGTGTCAACAAAACTCAAATTTGAACTCAAAAATGATAAAACTGGGGCCATTCATTAAAGCCTCAGTCACACATTCAGGATTTTTACTGCAGTCCTTGATAGGACCATTTCCGATTAAAAATTGTCAAAAGTCTGATCAAGATCCTGTGATTCGTGGCGGGAAATTCACAAATTTGTGAAAACATCTATTTAAGCACGACAACAATCAGATATTGTTCAGGAAGCGTCCCGATTCAGCCGTTTCCAGACGAATTCGTCCCGATTCTCCCGTTCTCAATCCGAATCTGATCCGATTTGTATCTTCCGCATGGTTAAAAACGACCGAATCTGTCCCGACAGCGTCTCGATTCTCCCGAAACGCGATCCGACAGAGACCGGACAGTGAACCGACACATTCGGCAAGATCTGGACGCAATCTGGACTTAATCGGCAAGAAACGTCAATAAAAAATGTCTCCAAATCTTGCCCGTTCATCACGACAGCGTCCCGACCCACAGGACACCGTCAAGACACCGTCCAGACAACACAAGATAGTGTTACGATTTTGATCCGATACAGCAAAATCCGTCATGACATAGGCACGATTGTAATCCGACTAGACAAAATCGGCTGAGTTTCCCGAATGTTACGGGACGCACCTAAAAACTGTCGGGAGTGCTTGGCCGAACTCTCCGGACCATTCCCGATCCGTAGGACTCTGTTACAAACGTATACGACTGCGTTCAGACAATGATAGGACATTCCAGATCATTGAGGATAGTAATCGGACTTTTTCGCTTTTCGTGTCGTAGCGCTGTCTGATTTCAAACGGGAGCCATAATTGGCACTGTGTGAGCGCCGCATAACAGTTCTTATGTTGCAGAAAATACCCAAGCAATTTGGCGGAGAAGGCAATTTGCAGACTTTTCCTTAACATGATAAGTTTGCAGGCTATAACAACGGAGCAGGCAATACAAGAACTTATAGTAATATAATTTGATGTTGACAAACTTACCTTTTCGTAGTATATACAGTCTGCCAAGAGAACATATTCGACGGTCCGTCCCAGCGATTCCTCCCCCCACTGTAAGGACTGAGCCACGGCTCTCCCTGTTATGTGATGTTGGTTGGTATCGATGTTTAGATTCATCAGTGGCAGAAACTCGGGTAAATCGGTTATTGTTACGTTAGCACTGTAAAGGGAGAAAAACTGTAAGCCACGATCACACCTCTCAGGAATTTGATTTTTTCTGTGCAGTCATCAGAACAAATCTAATGATTTTTTCCGTTAAATACTATTTTTTCTTTAAAGGGTTGCAAGATACTGCAGTGTTTGAACCAGTGTGTCATAACCAGCACAAGTGAAAGTAGTGTATGCTGCCAGAGGAGTTAACTTAAACAGTAATTCAACAGGAAACCATAAAATTATTCTTTTAAGTTCATTTTTAGAACTTGAAGAAAATGAACAAACAGCAGGGGCTTCAGAATCGAATGTCAAATTATAAAACAATCAACACATTGATTTGGTAATCTGTTACTTCCTGGTATTGAGAAAACGTTCCCCCCACTAACAAAAAATATGTTTTTGAATTTCTGAAATATTCCACTGCTTATAAAAATGGAATGAATTTATTACTGTCTATTCACAAATTTAAATTGTCACAAATAAGTGATTTGCAACAAATGATCACATAAATATAAAAGAAAAGAGAGCTATAGTGTGTTGCAGTTTGATGAAAAACCATGAGCAACCCCCAGCTATCTAGTTGTCTGTTTTATGGATTGAGCTAAAGAGAAATTTCCTCTTACGCAAAGCTATTCCGTCTTTGCGTATTGCAGAGTTATCTTCTCTTGGGGGCAGGTATTGATTGTTACGTCACTTGTTTGTGAGAGCAACGTCATCAATTTTTGAGAAAACGACGAAATTTTCTCACACAAACCAATGACAAAACAATCAATACCTGCTCCAAAGAGAAGATAACTCTGCAATACGCAAAGACGGAATAGAAGACAATCATAATCGTATGTACAATAATATCTGCGACAAGTTTAATCATCTTAAGCAAACATTTCCCTCTCCTGTAACGTAACTACCTGATCATCATAGTTTGTTCAATAACAGCTTGTCATGAAAGCTTTGTTTTAAGTCAGAGTCATATATTGAACACTGGTAATAGAATGCAGGCCAATCATGTTTGCACGTGGATTGTTTGCCCTTATAAATACAGATTGTATTATATGATCGATATTTTTATATCATAAAATATGATGTCAATCTTAGTGTTTTATGCTTCATACACAATTGTTTTACCGGACGAACTAAAGGTATGCTGTGAGAATATCTAGTTGGCCATGGATACGCAGCATGCTGGAGTGAGAATGTAAGTCTTATAAAATAAAAGATTTAAGGAATACTTGACATTTTATCGTAAAAGCCATACAATGCTAAGTAACGTTACAAGTTAGAAAAAAGAATGCTAGTCGTTTCGGTAACACGATGTTTCGGGACTTGATCAAGTCGTTTCGGGACATATAAAATTTTCACTTATAGATTACATTTCTCTCCCATTTCAAATAAAGTCCTGTATGACCTGTGTCACGACCTACCCGTGCTTGGGATCGTTAGTATTACCAGATTGCTAGAGGGGATACCTACCAACCTTTACCCGATTGCCAGTGTGTTATCAAATACAGAGAGGAACTTATGAAATTTAACATTCAATTTCTTTCGTTATTGATAGGTTCCTTGTTTGCTATTGTATGTAATATCATGATTTCAATTCACTCTATTCTCCATTATTGACATTAAGAGACGAATGAGTTAACATTGATTTAAACAATATGTTTTAAGCATTTTTTTGCTATATCATAGTATATGAAGTTAAATTTCACGAAAATAAAAACGTGGAATATGTTTTAGACATGTGGTCCAATATTCATCAAATCCAGGAATATGTTTTGAACAATGTTTTTTTATGTTGTGGATTTGTGTCTTTGAATATTATATATATTCACTTCATGTAATGGCAAATGCAGAGACGTATTATTCGTCTCTGGCAAATGTAGCCTAAGGCTATGATACATTCTAATAACTTTTACCCAATTCATTGTTCAAATTATTTGTCGATAAAATATGTTTAAAGAAAAAAGACAATGGTATTTACAGAAGAAATAAAATGAAAAATCCCGAAACGACTTTTGACATGTCCCGAAACAACCCTAAAAAATCCCGGAACGACTTTCGTCTTGTTACCGAAACGGCTTGTTACCGAAACGACATTACACCAGAAAAAAGATCTCCCTTAACTATATTTTCATGGCGAAACAACCTGCAGAAAACATGATTTAGTGAGAAACTACCCGACACCCTAGTAAATACATTTTTGAACGTTTGTAGCAACTGTGAGTGTGTACGAACCCGTAAACGGCAGCGTACACACCAAGTACACCTGTACCGGCCCCCAATTCCACTACATCTAGTCCCCGCCACGATTCCCCGCCATCAAAGTCTGCCGTCTCGAGGTATTTACACATAACTAGCGCCGCATCCCATACAACACAACCAACATCGCCTACTTCTAATTGATGGATTTTAAGTTTCTCTTCGTTTTTCAGTTCTAATTCTCGGATGAATGTGTTGTCTACGGGCGCAGACATATTGGAAATATCAACTTCCGGTTAGGTATAGTCTTTATCATGTTACTTGCTTAAGATTTATAAGAGGAATATTATGTGTAAAATGAGCCTTGGCAGTGGGTGGTTTTTTTTGCAGCATATATAATATACTTCGAAGTTGAAATTTGTATTAATTTATGGCGTATTTTACATCACTTTTTGTTTAAGTTATTAAAATGACATTTATCTAATATAGACTATATATTACAAAGTAAGGAGGGAAATACAAGTAAACTTGTTGTCACAAAACATGTCAGCAGTAAGCCTAGAGATTTTAGAGTTTATTCGCCCAGAGGGAAACAACAAGAATTTATATATAACCGGTATACCTTGGATGGAAGAAGCTGAGATACTGGTAAGATTCATAACTTGCTTAAAATATACAGAATGTACACATGCATAATTAGGCCTTGTTTGCTTTCAGTTTCACTTTCAAAGGCAGCATTTTTTTTCTACACAATTTGTAGGTTAGGGAATTGATTCCAACATTTTGAACATAATGAAAAAAGATCACTGATAACACAAAACAGGTATGGTATTTTTGTAAATGGAAAGAAATACATACATGACGTAAAAAGTAAACATAATATATAAATATCCACATTATGCCAGGAGATGCATTATAACTAATGACTGTATACGTCTCTGACATATACATATGAAGTGGAATTGGATCGCCATCGGCCGGGTAGCTCAATGGGTAGAGCGTTCGCCTAGATATCTGAGCTAAGGTCAGAAGTTTGAATCCCGCTGCATGGAGTCTCGATCAGCTTGCAAATTTGATCATGGTACAATATTGTATGTGTTATATAGGTACCAGTATATATCTTTATGTAAATGATATTGTCTCGTCAACAATAAATCTAAATTGTCTGATTTTCTATCTGATAGTCAGGTATTATTGTAGCGTAACACATGTAACAGGAGAGGCAAAATGCACAGCAAGACCTTGGTTCGAACCCGGGACCCTCCTAACTCTTGATGGACGCTCTACCAATTGGGCTATCCGGTCGCTGACGATCGACCCAGTCCAATTCCGCTACATTCCTCCCTCCTTTTTTTTAAGTCTTTGCCCCAGAAGACACAACTATTTACAACCCAGGTTTGGGTATCCCCTTTGCCAAGCATACACCAAATGCTTGAAACATGGCTTGGTCACAGGCACCACTGTACCAGGAGAGGAAAGCTGCACGGTCAGACCAGGGTTCGAACCCAGGATCCTCCATACTCTAGACAGATCACGCTCTACGTCTACCGATTCAGCTATCTGGTGGCCAACAATCGACCCACTGTCCAGTTCCGCAGCACACATATATGACAATCATTCTAACCATGCATAAATCTCAGAGATATATATATATGTAACATTTGATTTACAGGATAAGTTCTATCAACTATTCACAACATATGGCCCAGTATATGGTATTCGTCTGTGTCCGGCAAGTATAAAAATTTCTCGACCAGTCTCTGAGCCAGACACACCTCCTTTCAACTGTAGGGTGGGAATAGCACTTAATGACACAGACAAAGACAAGTCAACACCACCTGGTGGTAACAACGAGCAGAATGGATACTATGCCTTTGTGACGTTTTATCTGGCTATGAGTGCTAAAAGGGCAAAGGACAATTTAAAAAGCCGACTTATTATTCAAGGGAATGAGTGCAAGGTATGTAAACCTGAGATACATCAGACCAAATAAAAACAAATCTTGTGTTTCCGCAAACCCTACCTTCCCTATATATTTGTGCCTAACATTGACATTTAGTGGCATGCACTGTTAAACTCTTGCTCTATATAAGCTTAACCATAGGTACAAATATTTTCCAAAATAATAACAAAAAAAATGCCTTCCTACCAAACCCTTAGCGCTAACAGAAACACAAGATGTATCAGTGAATCGTGTCATATCTTGAGTGCAGATGCAATGTCCCATCCTCCGATAGTACCGTGATACTTTTAAAAACCTTCGTACAGGTTACTGCCATTTTAGAGTGGTTAATTACCATCATTCAAAATTCATTTTAAAAAAAGCATGCATTTCTTTCTTCTTGATCTATCACCAAAAAAAACCAATTATTTCAAAAATTAAAATCTTACACAATCTAGGAGATGGATCACTTGATAAACACATTAAACCTGGTAAACACTTCAGATTCGTTTCATGTCAAGGTTCGTTTCAAGTCAAGGAAAATTATGGTAACAGATTTATACAAAAAATTGTGACAAGTATCACAATGCGTATGGTATGGTGACCCATGTATCGTGACACGTATCATATCGTCACAACCCTATCGATACACAGCACTACCAAACGATATACATTCGTATGTTGTTGTGGTGTTCCAGATTTCCACAGCCAAGAGAAAGAAGGAAATAAGTAGAGCCACTCTACACTTTACAAAGTGTCAGGAACTGGCAAACCAATACCTAGGCTTTAATGGATGGTCCACTTCTGTCAAACTGGTAAGAAATAACACGAATCTAACCATTTTCTTTCTTCATATAACAAATATTAATTCCGTTTGAATATGACAGTCATTGGATATAGTTCTCAAATATGCGCAAGAGTTATATGGTTTCAGTGCCTTATTCACCATTATTAGCACCCATATAGTGCTTAAAAATTAGCTTAAACGAGGGGGCTTTTTAGGATAATGAAATGGGAGTTATGATAGAACCAGTTATGGATATTCAGTGTTTAATCCGCTTCACACGAAGTCCAGTCATGCTACCAGTCTTAAATCTCTAGTTTATATTTTAAGTACTGTAAATCATTGACTGGGCCTCGTCAGGTCAAGGATGGAGAAGGGGGAAAATCTAATTTATCTTTCTCTCAAAAAGGGAATTACGTTACTGTATATATAATAACTTATTTTTAATAACATCATTTGATACATGTTGAGCATCATGATTATGTTGTCTGATAGGTATAGATACTCTTCTTGTTCCGTTGTCCATTCCGTCATAATTTTGAATATATTGATAATTTTCCAAATTTTAGTATGACCCATTGTCCAGACATGAGGTATTCTTGGTTCTTTTTGTTGACCCCATAACTGTGTAAAATGTATTGTCATCTGGAACAAACTACAGTAGAAGAATTTCATGTCATGAAAGTACGGCAATGTTGGAGCTATCTGTTGATTTTACTGGGTAATAATTGAACAAAATATGTCAGCCATGATGATTTGAAAGTTTGTTTAATGGCCCATTAACGGAAACTGAAAGAATATGTTATTTTTGTTGTTGTTAATGTTTGATTTTATTATTTCATGTTTGTACGGTTGTATATTTTTTTGTATGTAAACAAGTTTGTTTGAATGTCAGTTTGATAGGGCTGCAACGATCTATCAAATTGTATTGTATCGCAATACTTTCTCATGTATCGATTTGAATAGTTTTGTTTGCCTGTATCGTGATACACTTAGAGTACTTTAAAACTTTATTAGCAGCCCTACTGTTTGAATGTACTTGATAATCCAACAATGAAGAAAAAAAGTCCTAATTACAGACAAAACTTGTTTGCTATAATTGATGTAGTACATTGTCCCATTGCAGCTAGAATGTGACTCTGAGGTGCAGGAAGGTGAGATAAAAAAGCTGCAGTATGTGTGTGTGGTCAGATTGAACATCGCTCAACATGGTTTAAGTACTGATGGTCTTGGAGCTTGGGAGGAATCCTGTCTCACCACAGGTGAATTAGCATTGGTTACAGGTTAACTTGTTAAGGTAACGTGTAAGGGAGGCTTGTCTCACCAAAGGTTAACTTGTTTAGGTAATGTGTAAGGAAGGCTTGTCTTAAATATAGAAACTATTGTGTGTTTACCATTAACTATATCCCCTTGTCATTTTCTCCCTTTTTACTTTCGGAATAATACCACTAGAAACCTACATCGACTTTTAATATTAATAATGAATAACATTCCTTCTCATCACTAGTTATCTCCCCTGTCTCTATATGTAGAAGACTGTAACGTCAAGTGCCTGTCCACCTAGACTATAGAGAGATCTGGATGATAAGTTATTATTGACTAGACTAAAATTAATACCTCCTCTATACATCATCTTCCATGTCTGCAGATCCCAAAAGAAATTTAATCTTATGGCCAACAAAAGAGCAGTAGATTATGCTAATGTCTGACTACCACAATTACCTCCCTAGACATTTATATTGTCCTACCTGTCTACACAAGTAGAACCAAAGCAATTTGTAAGGCTAAGAAACTGACCTACTGGAGTGGTATTGAGAATGGAAATAATAACCCGAGTTACTTCCCCTGTACATTTATATTGTCTCCCTTGTTTCGTCAGATCACACAGGTGAAATTTTATCTGTATGGCTAAGAAAATACCAGTGTTATACAGAGTTACTTCCCCCCCCCCTTCATTTTGTATGTTGTCTCCTTAGATCCCATAAGTAGATCCAAGCCAATCTTTGAGGCTGAGAAACTGTACTACTAAATAAGCTTTTGAGAACACCATTTTTAAACAGGAGTTTCGTCTCATTTATATTGTTTTTATCACTGGTGTCTCTCCCCATCGAACTAGTAGAGACAAGGCATTCTCTTACCCTGGACAGGTGTATCCACACTTTTACCGGTGTGAGATTTCCTTGTCTCACACTAGTGTTGAGACGGGGGGATTCCTCTATTCATAACAATGGTATGACGCCACTTCAACAATACAATGACGTCACATCAACCCTGAATTTAGCATGTAACGTTATCATTACATTGTGTATATGATACACATTTGGAGAACAGGGGAAGAGAAAAAGAATCATTCACCCCTTGTAGGTACAAATGTAATTAAGATAGGGGAATCTCAACCCTCGGGGAAAGATTCTGAAGTTGCCAAACACTCGTCAAAGCCTCGTGTTTGGCAACATAAAAATCTTCCCCCTCGGGTTGAAATTCCCCTATCTCACCCCCAAGGGTTGAGATTCCCCTATCTCACCCCCAAGGGGGTGAAAGATTCTATTTATCTAAGGCCAAGAAACTGTTCCACCAGANGATTCCCCTATCTCGTCCCCAAGGGGGTGAAAGATTCTATTAATCTAAGGCCAAGAAACTATTCCACCAGACAGCTAGAATGGGGGTACACCGTTTACCATTCGCTTAAGATTTATTTTGTTTGCCTTGTCTTGCCAGATCCCACAAGTAGAGCCAAAGCGATCTGTAAGGCTAAGAAACTGTCCTACCAGAGAGCTGTGGAGGACGCTTTCTCCAGAGTCCTCCTCATCGTCCTCAACAACGGCAAAGTTTCTGTCGAAATAGACACCACCAGACCAGATGCCTTACTGGCCCAGAAACAAGTTAACATGGAACCTGTTCTTAAGGTTAAGTAAAAAGATACCTTTTTCTGCAATAACACTTTTCAAGACTAATTTCTCTTTCTGTAATAACTTCAAAGACTATTAACTCATTCACCCCTAAAGACACATTTGAACTCTTCCAATTCAAAGGTTGGAATAGTTCATTATAAAAATGTCAGGGGTGAATGAGTTAAAGAAATAAGCACAGGGAATGGGGGAGGGGGTTGTGGTTGAGGCATTTGAACCCCACTTTCCCTGATGATTTTTTCCTTGCACTGAAAATACAAGTGGCCGTGGTACAATATTTTTTACCACAATGCCTGACCACATCATCGAATACATGTATTATCAATTACAAATCCCTCCCCTCCCCAACACCTCAAGCATCATCCCCTAACTTACCTGGGATGTTGATCTTTTCTGATGGTGTTGACAGGTGTGCTATCTGATAAATAGAAATGTTGATTATTTACAGGTTAACGAGTTAGATAAAGAGCCAGAAGAGGAGCAGATAGATATGTCGTTCAATGATATTGATGACATTGATGACATCAACCTTCACATCCTACATCAGCTGGAAGAGGAAATGTAGATCGAGGTCAAGATCATCACAATGTTACTTGAGGTGCTTGAAACGAAGGTCAACAGTGATGCCTCAACAAAGGTTACGACAGTGATTGTGACTCAATAAGCGTTGACTGAAATTTTACAACATCCCTCAGCAAAGATCAACAGCATCCATGTTCATATTGACTTATTACAAAGGTTAACAGGGACCACGCATCAACAAAGGTCAACAGCATGACCCCTATTAATGGTCCACCATAACTTAGAGTGACCATTAACGGTGGTCAACCATAACTTAGAGTGACCATTAACGGTGGTCCACCATAACTTAGAGTGGCCATTAACGGTGGTCCACCATAACTTAGAGTGACCATTGACGGTGGTCCACCATGACTTAGACTGACCATTAACGGTAGTCCACCATAACTTAGAGTGACCATTAACGGTGGTCCACCATAACTTAGAGTGACCATTAATGGACACAAGAAGCAACTCTGTTAACAGTGAATTTCATCAATCTCCAAAACATCCGCAACATAAAAGTTCATGGTTTTATATCTCTTCATTTGGTGATCCTTTAAAATTTATATTTCCTTCGGTCATGTCTTGATACTACAGTGTGTTCAACATATTTGTGATACAAATAAGGAGTCGTCTAATTATTTGTTATGTGACAATAGGCAAAACGTACATTGTTATTCATGTTTTTGTTGAACTCTTTATAAATTGTTTGAAATTGTTATCACTCACTATATTTTTATCTGTTTAATTTTTCAATAAATTTTCTACTTGTACATGTTTTTTGAGTTGATGCTTTATCATTAAGCTATCCATGTAGGTATGGTAGATAGCATGCTAAAACAGATCTATAGATAGTCAATGTCGTTATATACAGAAAACACTCCAAACTTTTGATTATTAGTTTATTCATGAGTAATAACATCACCTGCTGAAAATATAAAGAGCATCTTATGTAACAAAAAATGTTCATATTAGCCCATATTTAGGCATCGATATCTAGTCCACGTTTTGTCGATGAGTCTGGAATGAGTTATCACCCCTTTATCAATTTAGCCCACAGGACCTAATTGTTTTGCAATATGTGAATATGTAAGGGTCATCACCTGGTCATGGTGTAAGAGTGAATTTTGAAGGAATATAATCATATGCTTCATCACACGGGTAATGTGATACGTGTTAGGGATTATCTCCCTTTAACATGATTTTTTTTTCCATTCAGTAACATGACATCGATCTAATACATGTAGTTTAAAGTTATACTCATTGTTAATGCATCCATATACCTTAACGGTATTCATTGATTTTCTTTAGTGTAGAACTCTTGTTGAAAGGAGATTTTGTAACAGTGGCATACATCCTTAATGAACCATAATTAGTGAGAGGATCAGGACAAAGGTAATGTGTCTAGATCTTTATCAACATAGACTGACGGCCCTGCTGCCCTGCTAATATATTACAAATTAAATAATACAACACCAGTATGTAACAGAATAAAGATTTAATAAACACTTAAATCACTTGTACAATAAAACCCATCCCAAGCACACGCATCAAATATTCTTTTCACTAATTACCACACATGTTAGTTCAGTTAAAGATTAAACAAAATGAATAGAGATGAAATTTAAACAAGAAAAAATACACTGTAACTTACAGTGTATGATTGATACATGTGCAAAATGTAACTTCAGGGAATTGTTAAAATAAGTCTTCAATTCAACTATGTTTTACAGCCTTTTGAAGATTGTCTCACACTGTTTTCAAGAACAACATAGCTCACCTATTGCAAACATCTTCACATATAAAAAAATAAATAAATAAATAAATAAAAAAAAAAATGTATTGTATTACTGTCCATAAAATAAACCCTACTTTATCAGCCTCGATTGTTACTCATTTCCTATCTATTATATTTAACTATTATACTTTTCATTAATACTGTATAGCTGATAATTAGATGGCCTCAATATTTGATAATTTGGCCAATTTATAACCTTTCAATCTGCTGTTAAATCCAGAGATTTTAATTTGGTGCCAGCTATTGTGTAAACATTCAGGTATAATTCCATCCAGCATTATAAGCTGTTGACAAGGACTATAATTAAGAATACCTGGCATCATCAAAACTAAAGAATATATCTACTTGGCTAACAACCTAGTATTTCTATATTGCTTGTCATTATTTTGACTTATCATTGCCACCCATTCAATACTTTTCAGTAGCTATACTGTGGGTATTTAGACTGGCACTAGTCTCTAGAATATTGAATTATTTATTTGTTTTGTTTTGTTTTATTATTGTTTAACGGCCCACCGACAATGTGAGTCATTTAGGGCCAACAATACTGTAAAAAAAAGACATTCACGAAAATAAAAACACATCAAACCAAAACTGAATACCATAAAATATGTAAAGGATTAAAGAAATACATCAATATCGAACAAATTGGCTGCACAATATATCATATTTCATTGTAAAGATCAAGAGAGTGTAAATAGTAATATATTAATTGCACAGAAACTGTATCGAATAATCTTTTCATAGAGGGTACATCATAAAATCTGTTGCGTAGAGAGAGAAAAATGGAGTCTAATCAGTTTGATCACTTGGATGACTGATTCTATAAGTTCTCAGCTAGAGGAAAATAATCTTAGTAAAATGCAGCTTGGAAATCGGTTATAAAAACACTCAGTGGCTGATAGCTAGCCTGTCTATGTGGATACTGTCATACTCAGAATGCATTATAGTCAAAGATCAAATCATTGGTGACATTCAATTTGACTTTCAAATGCAGGCTTTGACAATTTACATTGTCGGGATCTAGATATGGACTTGTGTATCATTTCCAAACTAAAGCTCCACTAAATTTATCTGTCAAGTGATATATATATATTGGGGGCCTTTATCAGTGCTATACCTTAATGACCTCTTGATAATGATTCTGAAGAAAATTTAAAATCTTAAAGACATACACAAACTAATCACTGTATCATATATACATGTCCATGGTAAATGTAGCAAACAATCATGGAAAACAAATTCATCAAACCACAATTGTACATGAGGTCAGCTATTACATTTATCGCCAATGTCCAACACTAATGTACATACACACTGCAGTTTTCTCATCCACATTGATCATTCTATCATCACACAGCAAAAACATCTTTTCATTACTAAAGTTAAATAATTAAGTTAAGTTAATCAATGTACACACTTATGAAGTTTTGTTAAATAATCATCTGGATTTAGGAATTAGGGTCTACCTAAATAAGACCTGAATGGGCAGCTGACAGAAAAGTGACTTTATGACACTTTCCTGAGATGTAGGAGAGGGAAATTCCATCCAGGTTTTTTTCTTTCATTCCAATCGCCAGAATTTGCCCAGAAACCACAAAAAGACAGCAATTTCTGCATCGCAGCCTCAGAATTTCCCGGTTCCTTGACATGACGTTATTGTTATGCCATTGTGAAGCTGAAGTCACACACTTGAAATGGGAGTAAGATAGAATTTCTTACACCCCATCTTACCCTGGATAGTCCTGTCATACACACGTAGGAATGAGAGAATACTTTCTATTCCTGAACTTTGTTAGGAATATACTGTACATATACATGTAATATGACAATTCAGTTGTGTATACACTTTGACAGTTTTTCTTGCTTGCAGTGGAACCATGAATATATTAATACACCACATTTAAAAAAACATATTCACTCATTAAAGCTTCATTCCTAATCATTCTCTGATTCTGATGTAATCTGTAATCTGTGTTTAAGATTTTTCTAAAATAAACATCACTGAAATTTGGAATGATATGAATGTCTGACACTTGTGAGGTAAAAAAAGGGTTTTGAAAACCAAAAGTGACTTGAATACCCATTAAAATAAAAGGTTAAAATACCATATCTTCCTATTTAATGTTTTAAGATACACTTATGCTGCAATGTTTTCTGAGAAGTAACACTTTGGTTGTCTGCTGGTTTTCTTTACTTATCACTATATATAAATATAGAGGTGTTATGGTAATTTTTTCATTATCAAAGAACTTTTGAATTTTTCAGAAATAACACCAATTATAAGGCAATCCCCCCAACCCCACAACTCGTTAATCTGATCTCCAATAATCTTAATACCATGTTTTTCAGACATTTATACTAAAATAAACCAAAAAACCCAGTCAAATTTAGTTTAATTAGCTTTCAAGATATGTAATCTTGTTTTCAATATCTGTTTTTTTTTAACTCATTCACCCCTGAAAACACATTTGAACTCTTCCAATTCAAAGGTTAGAAAAGTTTAATATGAAAGTTCAGGGGTGAATGAGTTAAATATGTGCAGATATATTTTGTATTTTTCTGCAAATTATTCAAGGGTGGTCATTCTGCATCCCAGGACATCTAATTTTGATTTCGATTTTAATAATTCTAGAATGATTTAAGATGAACATTTTACCTTCAATACACTGCTGAGCTTATAAAGTTTGATCCAATCAATTCAAATCTTTTCAGTGACAAGAGCTTGGCAGTTAATACAATTTCTTTTTCATACTTCTTTTTTCTGAAACATCAAATGCTTAGCACGTTTCTTGATCCACTTAAGATTACATGTAATCTAAGCTAAGTCAAAACTTCAAAATTAAGTTCCAATTTTGTCCTAGACTTACACGGTAAGTCTATTTCATGATTCTGGGGCCTGATAAACAAATTTCCAGAAGATTTACAAAATATCTGTCAATCATTCCAATGAAGGCTTGTCCTGTTACAGGAGGTCGTAGAAGTAATCCAGGCCTTGTCCTAAAGACTTGTCCTGTTACAGGAGGTCGTAGAAGTAATCCAGGCCTTGTCCTAAGGCTTGTTCTGTTACAGGAGGTCGTAGAAGTAATCCAGGCCTTGTCCTATTTCCCAGATGGAGATCCCTGTCCCCATGGTCTTGGCCAGGTCCAGTCGGACTTGTATAGACTTCAGTGTCGGAAAATGTACATTGTGCGTCTCTCCTGTGGTTCTGGAATAAATGTACATGAAAATGTTTTTCCTGAATTCATTATGTTGTAGATTGTAGATTAGTAACTCCTAATCATGTCTTTTAATTTATAATTTGGGATTTTTTTATTTGGGATGGGGCCTTTTTGTCTCATTTTGGGGAAAAAAATATACAAGGTACCAATTGGGAAGGAAATTTTTGGGAGTAAACTAAAATTTTGGGAATAAGGCATACATATGAAATACATTTGTATTTTCAATGGGGAATGGGGCCCATTATCGGCCTCAAAAAGTCCCCAGAAAACACACTGCTTACAAAATGTTTTTGTAAATTATTCTTGTTAAAAGGTAGAATATTTCTCTATAATATAAAGTCTGCCTAATTTATTGAAATCAGAAAACGTATTTCTATCATGATGAGATCCGTCTTTTCTACAGTTAGGTTTGTTAGATCGAGTTATCTGATATTTTTGAAAGGCATGCCGCTGCAGGTTATAATATCAGAATACCAATACAATAGTATACAACACTCACTTGTACTCCCCAACGTGTTCAGCAGTCTCCTCTACCCACTGTAGCTTTGGTTTGTGCTTCTTCAGAATATCTATGTACCTAAAATGAAACATAATTCTCTACAATAAATGTTCTAAATTATGACATATCTTTTTAAAATTAGGTCTTAGGTGATGTATAAATTATTGCTTGCACAATATTTGAAATTGTGCTCAATGCTTAACAACAACTTACAGGAAAGTATAAACAGTACTTTAGATTTTTTTTTAATTCTTCATCACAAAAAGCTAGCTGAATATTTACTGCAGACCTTACAGATTTTTGTAAGAAGTCATTTTTATTTTTTTAACATATCTATTCATGATACCTTGAAAGTGAGTAAAGGTCTTTCCTTTAACAAACGTTGATGTCCTTACACTCCAGCAAGCTAGAGGCCAGGCATCGACAAACCGTACATCAACCTACAGGATTATGGCTTGCGATATAAAGTCCTCATGGAACTAAACTGACTCCCTGTTTAGCGACTTACTGGTGGCCAAGGATCGCTCCTCCATTACCGCCTCTGGTCATCGTAAAATCATTTCCGTAGAAGTTGAGCCCTAGAAGAATTTTAGATCTTGATATTGGATCTTCCTTTGGTACCAACGCCTCCACACAATCTTTGACCCAGTCAATAGGACTATTGGCTCCTGGTCTGTGAATACACAATGTGATACTCTAACCAAACTGTTTTACCAATTTTTGTTCTTCAGGTTATTTTAATAGATCAAATATAACCCTTGAATTTATTGTCTATAATTATATGTTCCTATAGGGAACGCAATAATATTAATAAACTTCAAAGTCACTCTTTTCTAAGCTTTCAAGCTTAGCCCTTTGTCAGGGATTAAATGTCACCGGACCTCTATGTCACATCCATCTTGACAAACATGATGAGTAACTATGACTTTGATCTTGATGACATCATAACACTGTTACCATGATGTCAACACAACACAATGACGTCATCAAACCATGATCTCACAAATTGTGACGTCATCACCATCACTTGGTATTGCTACCATTGAGGAGACCTTGAATTTATGCTAATATTGAACTGTTTTAAAAACTAGAACACTGAGGGGTCAGAAAGGGCTCCGCTTGTGCCCAACTGTTTATCTCTCTTATAATCAAAAAGAAAAAGGTACACCAATCATCTTGGATTTTATACATGTAGGAGTTAAGATTTTGACATATTGCATCACCGTGTGAAATTTCAGAAACTTCAGACTTCTGGACTCTGAGATAACCTCGGACAATGAAAGATGTTTGAATGGACAGAGTGATTACTATAGAACACCAGCACTCGATCATGTGTCAGAACACTTTGGCCTAATGGAGAACAATACTTGACCAATTGCAGGTCTTGTTACTAGATGTATGATGAGACATCCGATAGAGCATCGTTGGATACCCACGGCTGATTTCACTTCGCTACTCACTCGTGAAATCAGCCTAGGGTATCCGATGATGTTGATGGAGTAACTTCTCTAAATGGCCACTCAAATACTGGTGTTGCTGTTTCTTTAATACTCACTTCCTTTGACTGGAGAAGTCGTACGTCATCAGACTAAAACCATCAACATTGCTCTGTAGTGCCTCAAAGTCCTCCTGTGTGAACATGCCTACTACATCACTGTAACAGATAAACATATCTCTGAAACAAATTGTATCAGCTGAGGAATTTGAGTGAAATAGTGCCTTATTAGCAAGCTAGTTTCTCCAGTGATGTGGTATAACCCGTAGATCTACTCACTAGCTCAGCAATGTCACGCGTAGTCAGTAGCCGGATGGGTGACCATCTGCACGCTACAAAATTATCACTTGATCTGTTAAAACTTACTCTTTTATCACCTAACTTGAGAGGAAATGTTTTTTCTACCATTCACAGGTTTATCTCCCCTTTTACCTGTTCAGGATTCTTCTATCAATACACTGACAATGATTAGAATTAATTGAACTTTAACCAATGACCTTGAAGTTGATTGTGCAAAAAAAGGAAATAAACCACCCAACTGAGCTGTTCAGCAGTTTTAATCTGTTGGCATCCACTGAAACAAATTGACAAATTGTTTAACTTGTTGGTTGGATCAAGGTTTCAGAAAGGAAATTGAATACAGAGTATTACTGTTGGAGTGTCAACTGGGAGATTTAAGTCACAGTTTATTTTTCATCTTTTTCGCCAGCAGAGAGCTCATATATATAGGATTTTACATGAGTTTCCATTTCATATGAGAAATATTTGTGACGAGTTTCATAAATTTCATATGAAATGAAAACGAGTGCAAGATCCTTTTTATCACAAAATCAAGATTTGTGGCATTTATTTGTGTAACGACAATTTTCGTGCACCCTTGAAATGTAAAAGTACGCCATTTTGACTCCAGTGTGTCATGTACTTGTCCTAGGCATGACGTCACAACTGAAACAATTTAAACTTAATACAACCAATCACAGGGCTGATAGGTCATATAACATGGATAAATATGCAAAATAATATGACATGGGTATATTGACTGGATAACTGATAAATATACATATTATTATAACACCTAACATCAATTAACAAAATACTATACATAGCTATCAAATGTGAAGGGCATTAATTTCACTGGACAGTTTGTATGTTATGGCGAAGGTTTCCGATATACATGTACAATGTACAGTATATAAATATCTATTTTGTTACACCAAAAGTCTTTGAAGCTCAGAAACGGCAGCCAACCTCGATAATGACATCTTGTTTGTTGATAGTCTGCTGTTTACAATCGCTATCGCACTGGCGCTTGATAAAATTGGCTGTTGCCGTCAAACGTTCTTGTGACCATCATGGTGGGGAAACGAAGCGGTGAACGCATATTTTTCGCGCATGTGATATTTTTCACGGTCTCATGGCAATATCACACGCGCCCCTTAAAACCAATGTATATTCGGAGGGTGACAGAGATTTTTGTTTAATTTTCTCCCAACCAATCAAATATCTAGAAATTCACTTGAGGTGTAACAATATGATAAACAAGATAACGATGAATACTGGTACCATTACATATAAAATATAGTATGCATAGAAAGAACAATTGAAGGTTATGTAATAAAATCAATATCACATGTTGCTTATAGACGTGTGTGTGAGTAGTAGTTTGATGGGATGGAGACGTGTCGCAGGATACTTACCCTGGATACACAGGTGGAGGGATGACTAGTATAAACAGTTTCTTTGCCGTGTGAAACATTTCACCAAAGTGATTCAGGAAGTGGCGCATCTCTCTGTGAATGAACAAACAACACACCATCAACATAATGCTACTTAAATCTGAACTTATTTTTGTTTTACTAGTTCTTAACTCTTGCCTTTCCAAATTTCTTTGTAACTTAACTTAACAGTTTTATCACCTATAAAACTTAAATATTATATCCTGTGTACTTTGTATCAGAACAAACAAAACCCTGGACCATAGGTTTCTTAAACTTTCAAAGAATACTATTATGATAAAAACATCTACCAAGATCATGATGTACATTTGAATAGACATTTTAGCTCCAGTTCATTGGTATCATTATCATATATGATTTACCTAATTAACCTTCCGTTACCAGTGTTCTCACTAAGTTTTGTAAATGTTGGTTAACTTGAAATGGATATAGCCGAATGAATGTGTACATGCCATTATGTTGACAAATACACATTTTGAGTGTTGTTTTTTTTTAAATGACTAGTTCAAAGTTGATGAATTAAAAGTAGGCTATTTTTGCTGGCAACCAGCTTTTAATGAGATTAACATTTACATTTACATACTTGGTAGCTTGTCCTCCCAACTGTGACCAGATCTCCACCACCACTCCAGCAAACTTGTTCTCCTGTGACACGACACAAACATACAGTATTAATTATGCTTATACAGACCACTTCTCGTAATGTCATGTTTCATTTCCCCAAGGAAAATATGATATAAAGTGAAATTTGATATTACCGGAAAACCTGTTTTTAGTTTAATGCTGAGACAAGAGATATTACAGTGTAAGTATTTTTTCTAATTCTTTTTATAAATACAAGAACCCTTGTCATAATAAAACAAAGCTTGTACATGTACATGTATAGTAAATGAAGAAATCTTTCAAAGATGTTTTCTCTGTTATTAACACTACATTTGTGAATGAATATGAATCATTCCTGCACAGCAATTTAATATAAGAAAAGTCACTTCTGTTCACATAAATGTATGTCCATACAAGTAATTTAAACATGTGATATGTTACCCAGCCAGAATCAGAACAGGATATAATTAGAGGATTATATGTTAAATTACAAAATTTAAAACAGGAAAGCTTTAATACTGGTAAAATAACATGATACAGTTTATGTATTAAGAGGAATCCTTGTCAAATCACATAAGAGAAAATGAATAACAAATGACCTTGACCTTGATTTTACATTTTAAGTCCCTGCGATGAGTCAAGTAAATTTAATCTTAAAAGAAAGGTAAAATATGGATAGATACTGGTAGAGTTTACCCTAAAACCTTGAATATAAATTCACCTTGCATATATGGTCAATTTTACCTTATATGTCGGATAGGACTCTTTTCTATAAAACTATACCAACCAAAGGGTGAGCCTAACACTGAACTTGAGGTTATCAAAGATATCCTAAGGTAAATAGAATTAATACAGACTTGTTACACACAGCAAGTTATTCATAGTTGCTGTAGATATGTAATATGCTGTATACCTTGGTGAAGTCCAGGATAACCTGTATACAGTCCTCGATGGCGTCCTCACTACTGAACAGGGCACCATAATCTTTTCCATTCCAGCCATCAAAAAACACACGAGGCACTGTTGAAAAAAATGATACAAAAACATCCATGGTTTTATACAGTACAATATATTAGAGCTACAAAAAAAATCAGGTTCTCAAGTAGTGTTAATGTTGATGTAACCTGGTCCAGCTTCTTGAGAGAAATGTACAATGAATCGTCGCAAGCGATGGGTTTAAATCCACTCCAGCTCCTACAAACTGAGTAAAACTTGTGGATTGCGATGATGTGTACATTGCAGCGACCAGTATATAAATGAAAGTGATTTATTAAATCAGCAAGCTTGTACGTTTAATAATGTTACCTTCTGATTTTACCTACTGGTTTAGTGTTGTCTTTTTGTACAAATAATATAAAATTCCTCCCTACGATATGCAGATATACAATCTTAAAATCATTTCATATTTATCTAAAAATTCACAAAAAAGTATCGAAGAGTGATTTTGAAAGGGTATTAAAATGATTGAAAATAACCCTTTTACATAAAATTATCGATACTGTAGATAACTTGTATATCTCATGCATTTATTTTAAAGCAAATTTACATTAATCATCGACTGCAAATCCAAGTATCTTGGGAAAATTATCTATGCATAAGACTTACATGGTAAGTGAAACATGAATATCGCTAATAACTATAGCAATGCGATTTAACAAAATTAAGTGTGCTTAAAAACATGTATAATCCACAGTATATTAATTTGGTTCTTACATATTTTGGCATGCTTCCCTGCTGTCACTTCATCTACCCAACCTGCAAAGAACAGAAAGGGCTAGTAGTAAAATGGCCCAGAGATATAGTTTTAAAATGACTAGTAGTAACCATGGATAATAAATCTAGTAATCATACTACCACCAGTATCAGTAATTTCTGAGACTTTGGAGTCTGTATTCATGAAACCATTCCCATGCTAACACTCAGATTCTGTGCTCAAGTCCAATTTCTTTTTCCCATTTATAAAATTAATGAAAAATTCACATTTTTTCAATGATCTTTGTGAGACTAAAAGTCAAACACCATTTTCGTAGTTTCTATTTGACTTTTCGACTAGTACCACCTGATTTAAGCAAGTTACGAGAAAAATTAGTTTGAGCACAGAATCCATGCTTGAGGGCGAGAAAAGTTTCATGAATATACTGGCCCTGGATTCATGCTTTTCCTGTGGAACTCGCCCACTGTTTCTATATCTCTTAGAAATAGGACTCATCAAAATTTTGAAACAGATGTCCAGGGCCCGTATTCATGAAACCGTTCTCATGCTCAAGCAAGCTTTCTAGTAACTCACATAAATCATGTCAACGATCATAAAGTCAAATTTAAATATTGAAAACAGAATTCAGCTATAATTTATAACTGGAACAAGAAATTAGGCTTGAGCACAAAGTCCATGCTTTAGCATGAGAGTGGTTTCATGAATACGGGCCCAGGACTTACTTGAAATATTTCTACAAAAATCTCTATTAAGTAATATGATCTAGAAATCTAGTCATAAAACAACTACCGATAGTACAACTATATATAGTAACACCAATACATGGATCAGATATCTAGTCATAAAACAACCACCGATAGTATACAACTGTATATAGTAACACCATTACATGGATCAGATATCTAGTCATAGAACAACCACCGATAATACAACTATATATAGTAACACCATTACATGGATCAGATATCTAGTCATAAAACACCCACCGATAGTACAACTATAGTAACACCATTACATGGATCAGATATCTAGTCATAAAACATACAGATAGTACAACTATATATAGTAACACCATTACATGGATCAGATATCTTGTCATAAAACAACCACCGATAGTAACAACTATATATAGTTACACCATTACATGGATCAGATATCTAGTCATAAAACATACAGATAGTACAACTATATATAGTGACACCATTACATGGATCAGATATCTAGTCATAAAACAGCCACCGATAGTACAACTATATATAGTAACACCATTACATGGGTCAGATATCTAGTCATAAAACAACCACCGATAATACAACTATATAAAGTAACACCATTACATGGATCAGATATCTAGTCATAAAACATACAGATAGTACAACTATATATAGTGACACCATTACATGGATCAGATATCTAGTCATAAAACATACAGATAGTACAACTATATATAGTAACACCATTACATTGATCAGATATCTAGTCATAAAACAACCACCGATCGTACAACTATATATAGTTACACCATTACATGGATAAGATATCTAGTCATAAAACAACCACGGATAGTATACAACTATATATAGTAACACCATTACATGGATCAGATATCTTGTCATAAAACAACCACCGATAGTAACAACTATATATAGTTACACCATTACATGGATCAGATATCTAGTCATAAAACAACAACGGATAGTATACAACTATATATAGTAACACCATTACATGGATCAGATCTCTAGTCATAAAACAACCACCGATAATACAACTATATAAAGTAACACCATTACATGGATCAGATATCTAGTCCTAAAACAACCACCGATCGTACAACTATATATAGTTACACCATTACATGGATAAGATATCTAGTCATAAAACAACCACGGATAGTATACAACTATATATAGTAACACCATTACATGGATCAGATATCTTGTCATAAAACAACCACCGATAGTAACAACTATATATAGTTACACCATTACATGGATCAGATATCTAGTCATAAAACATACAGATAGTACAACTATATATAGTGACACCATTACATGGATCAGATATCTAGTCATAAAACATACAGATAGTACAACTATATATAGTAACACCATTACATTGATCAGATATCTAGTCATAAAACAACCACCGATGATACAACTATATATAGTAACACCATTACATGGATCAGATCTCTAGTCATAAAACAACCACCGATAATACAACTATATAAAGTAACACCATTACATGGATCAGATATCTAGTCAAAAAACAACCACCGATAATACAACTATATATAGTAACACCATTACATGGATCAGATATCTTGTCATAAAACAACCACCGATAGTAACAACTATATATAGTTACACCATTACATGGATCAGATATCTAGTCATAAAACAGCCACCGATAGTACAACTATATATAGTAACACCAGTACATGGATCAGATATCTAGTCATAAAACAACCAACGATAGTACAACTATATATAGTAACACCATTACATTGATCAGATATCTAGTCATAAAACAACCACCGATAGTATACAACTATATATAGTAACACCATTACATGGATCAGATATCTAGGAAAATGACAGCTGTGCTCAGTAACTCAGTATAACATCTAGTGCTGCTGCTGCAACATCAGCACTGTGTTGTATATCAGAAAGTAATGCAGCTATTGTAATGTAAAAATAGGTAGTCAGTAAAATATTCTATAGAGAAAAGTTGAGATATTTCACAACAAATATAAAGCAGATATGTAATGATTAATCTCTACTTAAAAGTCAAACCGCATGGGTCACAGCACAGTTATGTGTGCTGTGACCCATATCAGTATATGTATTTCAGACATTTGTAACAAACCCCTGTGGTCGAACCATGATAAATATCATGCATACATGTGATCTGGTAATGACAGACTGTGAGTGTAAATCAGGGTTGCCAACATCCAGAGATGCAGATGTGGCTTTTTCAGTGCGAGAGGTTAAGCGTGAAGACATTTTATGGACACAATTTTTTTTTCAAGAACTAAATTTAGTAAAATATTACTAAACAGTTGTTAAGGTTTAATGGATTTTAGTTAATTGAACGACAAATATTTAGCCATTTGTCACTTGATCTTTCAATGACAGACCCTTGCCACATGATCTTCATCATGTGATATATCTCAATGACAGTCTTATTCAATATTGTAATCAAAGTCACATGATCTCTCAATGACATACTATCTCATGAATATAACAACAGACAACCACAATATATATCATAGTTACCGTGATCCACATCATGTTTCCCCTCTATGACAAAGGCACCTCCAGGTTTGCGCTTGACTTGTAGCCACACTGGTGACACGTAGGAAAACTTCTGTGAAAATCTTTTGGCTATAGTGTAACCATGATTGTTCCACTAAAAGCCATACAAAAAATGATTTTTTTTGCAAAGAAAGTGCATGGCAGATCCAAATGTCGACCTGGGAGGGGAAGCTGTACTAGAATCTTGCTTTCGTTTGATCGTGAACCACTTATGCATTTTCATGCAAAGTCAAGCATTTTTTTTATACATGTACCAAGTAAAATTTTAAACATACTGAAGGATCTTTTCTATAAGACCAATAAACGCCCACATATTCATTATTGACCTGAAACAAATTTAACCTTAAAATAATCTTTGAAGTATTTCATCTTTATTCATTTATACACTTTTTATTCAGTTACACAACAATTAACAGATTCCCACACTCAACAACATTTAACAAGAAACTGAATGACTTAATCAACCATTGATTGATTCCAAATGCTATTATCAAGTATTTCATATAACCTGGGAAAATGTTGCTTCAGTTTAACGTGATATGCCCTCCCTAGTGATGATGAATATTAGCATACAGCTTATTATACATATTATTTCTGCTTGCTTGATATCCATCACTTAGTTCTAGAGAAGAAGTTGCTTAAAGCAATATGGCCAAATTACCCCTTTTTTGGCCCCGCTCATCAGCCCCTCCATTTGTACAATCTTGAATCCCCAGCACCTGAGAGAGCTTCCGAACAGATATGGTTAATATCCGTCTCTTAGTTCTACTTGTACTCTGAACAGCAAAACGTTTTGAACACTTGACAAATATGGATTTTATCACAGAAGGGGAAATATTTCACAAGGTGAAAGTTTCCCGTATAGTAATTACACATGGAGTCCACTTACAGGAGTGACGTAGGCCAATGTTCTACCCTGAAACCTCTTGATCTCCTTTTCCATCTCACAGTAAGCCTTGTATTCATGCAGGATGTCCTTCGTTTTGATATTCTCTGTCACAAGGTCTCTGTCAAATACATTCCTGCTGCTGTGGTCTGTCGCCTGAACCTTTACAATTGAAGCAAAACAGAGTATTCAGAACATGTGCTGGCGGTATTAATCTGACATTCTGTTATATAATTAATAAACAAATGTTTACCAGGTATATTTTGCCAAAGTTTCACATCAGAAGGCAAAATATCTATCATGATGGTCAACTACTATCCTATTTTCTCACACTACCAAAGAGTATTAGATTAATTTATGTCCAGGGGTGTAAGACAGGGAAATTCCACCCATGTGGTTTTCAAATTGGGTGAAGACCAAAGCTTGCCGAGGGTTTTGCACCAATTTGAAAATCGGGAGTTTGGAATTTCCCTATCCCACACCCCTGGACATGAAAGACTATTTTTCTCTATCCCACACCCCTGGACATGAAAGACTATTTTTCTCTATCCTACACCCCTGGACATTAAAGACTATTGTTCTCTATCCTACACCCCTGGACATTAAAGACTATTCTTCTCTATCCTACACCCCTGGACATGAAGACTATTTTTCTCTATCCTACACCCCTGGACATGAAAGACTATTTTTCTCTATCCTACACCCCTGAACATTAAAGACTATTTTTCTCTATCCTACACCCCTGGACATTAAAGACTATTTTTCTCTATCCTACACCCCTAGACATTAAAGACTATTTTTCTCTATCCTACACCCCTGCACATTAAAGACTATTTTTCTCTATCCTACACCCCTGGACATTAAAGCATATTTTTCTCTATCCTACACCCCTGGACATGAAAGACTATTTTTCTCTCATTCCAATCACCAGAATTAGCTCAGATATCACAATGATGTCCCATATATTGTGACGTTATGCACATGAAATAATGTGAAGTAAGATAGAAAATTCTTGTATAGCTTTCTTTCCCTGGACAGTTCTGTCAAGTATATATAGGAATGATAAAATAACTACGAAAATCCATCGACAAATATCGCACTCTACAATTTTTCCATATTGTGCTCCCAGGAAGTAAATAGAAATGCTGATGTAGTGAATAAAAACGCACAAGCGAAGGAATAGACAACTCCCAAAGACAATAGTAATAATCATGACATGACAAAAACTATGGTGCCACATGATCATGATCATATATACAACATTGGTTTTAAATAATTCATTGCAGTGATTTTTGTAAAAAGAAAATTCAGGCTAGTCCTAGAACAAAAGAGAGATACAATGGGTTCTCAAAAAGTTGGTGAGTCCCACAGGAAAGCATATGTACAGGAATCAAATATCTGATTACCCAAAATCACTGCAGTGTCATATTTTGGTTTCGTATGAGAATTTTGCTTTAGTATGTTTTATGCAGATTATCTGAGATATTACTTGATCAGATCACATGTCTGAATTTCATATTTCCTTTGCTTTCAGTTTGGGAAATATGAAGCATAAACATAGGGGGCAATGGGTCATATTATCAACAACAAGAGTAGGAACATATCCCGATATGAGAACATTTAAAACAGATTTACAGAAAACAGCTGATTGAAATATGTGTACAATGTACATGTTGCTCTCAACTGGAAAATGGCCCATTCAACTTTCCAAATCATAGAAACAGGTTACATGCGTCAAGTAGACGTCTATATAAAAATCATATGATTTATTATCTTCAAAGTCCTGAAGTAGGTCTTAGGGTTATTATACAATTTCATGTAATCCCATACATTTTGCATTATTAACAATCCTTAGGTTTTTTTATAGAATGTAAAACCTGTAAAAAAAACATTTGTTTTGTTTAGACCTGTTACCTTTTTCTTCTTCTGTCCCTTGGAGAGAGTAGCATCAGCAACAATCAAAAGATGGCTGGCGATGACCAGATAGATCAAATTTTGATACACAGATATAAAGTCCATATCTGGTTAATATCACCTTCAGATCTAAACAAGATAAATTGAGGTTATTGCTTTTTTTGAAATACCAAGTTATGACATGAAATCAAAAACAAATTCCTGATATGAATTACATGATGACACAAGCTTTATTGATATTAAATGTGGAAGTTGTGATTTTTGTATTATCCTAACAAGGGAAGATTTTTTTATTATGAAAAGACCCTCCTTTAAATTTTGCAACTGTTTAGTTGAATGTTGTGTATAATATATATCTGTATGTCTATATATACCACCAGAATGGCTAAGGTCAAGCTTTACTTTCATTTTACATTTTCATACAGAGTTAGTGAGTCACTTATTCACCTTTCTGCTTGCATTGGCTAACTTCACTTCTTATCAGTCCTATAAGCAGGTTGGGGAAAACCACCAACTTGCATATATATGCAAACTAGCCTATTATAGGCAAGTTGGAGTATGGATTTGTTACTAAAAGTAACCCAAATCGCTTTTACAGTAGCTTTTGCAAGATATTATTGAAAATCGCATTAATTTACGACAAGGTANTACAGTAGCTTTTGCAAGATATTATTCAAAATCGCATTAATTTACGACAAGGTAAATAATATTTTGCTAAAAAATGTTGACTGAAAGCGTTGGCTACTTAAGAAACTTGATGTAACTTTACCGGAAGTATTGCATCTTAAATTAAATTTTTGGTACTTTTCCACATGCAAATAAAGTTTATTTTTGCATTTGTATTATGTTTCATGAAAGAATAAATGCGACTTGGACAAACAATTAGAAAAAGTTAAGATTAAAGTGATTTTGGCTATTTTTAGTAACAAATCCATACCCCTATTGGCGTATAATATATGCAAGTTTGCATATGATAAGCAAGTTAGTGGTTTTCCCCGACCTGATAAGACAACTGGCATGCATTGCATGTGAAACAGGAAAAGAAAAATACACTGCCAGACCAGGATTTGAAACCAGGGCCTCCGAACACTAGATGTGCTTTTATCAATTGATCTACCTATATATATTTAGCTGATTGCCAATGATTTACATATACCCAGTCTAGTACACCACATTCCTCCACCTTTCTCTAAAGTCTTTGCCCTCAAAGACAACACTATTTACAACCCAGGTTCGGCTAGATCAGGGACGTATAACGTATATACTGTCCCTGGCTAGATCCAGCTTGCCAAACATACACACATGTACACTACTCGAAATAAGGGTCAGTCACAGGCAACACTGTAACAGGAGAGGACAATTTAGCAGCATCACTGACCAGGACCTGAGGCTTCCAACCTCTAGACAAATGCTCTAACCAATTAAACTACCTTATCACTATTCCCCCCTTTTTTTCTAACACCAACCAAGGTTCTTTGACTCCCCGCCAAGGGTTCTCCTACCTCGATGAGGAGAGTCAACAGCACCGTTTGTAGTAGGATGAGGAATAGTGTTAAAGACTGCCGTCGCTGGGGCTCGAACCGGCCGTGTTCGTTTCGGCTATGTTGGATAACAAGACCATATAGATGTATTATATTGGGAATCTTTTAGTGCTTGCGGGGAGCTTTACTCTGTTAAAGTAATGCATCAAAATTGCATGTATACCACCTGTTAATTCTCTCTCCACATCACATAAATTCTCAAACCTACACGTTGTTTACAACATCACATTTATCAGCCTTCATTCAAAAGAGTTCCCGCGGGCCGGTTCAAGCACCTACATTTTAAGGCGGGAAAATATGAAGACAAAATCTCCAATATTTTAAGTTCATACATGTAGTTCTTCAGATATTGTTACACACATATTGCCAAAATTTCTTTGCGCATCCATTCCATACACACTGTCACATATTGATATATACATACTTTTTATTTAGATATTTCTGGTCTTAAAATCATTCTTTAACTGAAAATCTACAATTTCAGTCTACTGCTTCAGAAAAAAAATGCGACAAAAAATATTTAACCCCGGCACAATAAATTTCAGTATCGGAAAGATGCCCAATGCAATATTACTTTCGCAGGGATTGATTTTTCTGTTCATGGAAGCCTTTATCTCTGTAAAGGAAAGCGTACGTTGACTTCTTATTAGTAACATCTATTTCGCGTGGATCGTACATGCATGAAATGCATTTGTTTCATGCATGAAAAAAACAAACCATTCACCCACTCGTGAAATGACTCGAAAACCAAGAATTCGAATATTCTCTATACTGTTGTTTGCTCTTAAATCGGCTACATACGTCCCCATCGGCGGACCATTCTTTCTACCCCAAATAGCCATCGAAAATTCGATTTACGTAAAAATAACTATTTTCTTTTTGAACAACATGTACGGTAAAAAGGTGCACTGCGCTCGGTTTCGTGTTCAGAATAAAAATCATTAACAATTACAAAAGAAGTCTGCCTCGCTTGTCGATAAGCATAATATTGCCCTTACTTTTATCATTGTTTTCAGAGAATCAATTAAAATTTCTTATATACTTGATTTTTGAGACCATATTCTCATATGATGAAATAACAAAAAAGTCATGAGGAAAACTTTAGGAATATTTAAAAACATTTTCAACAACTTTTATATAGAAATCATATTTTAATATGATAAAATAATAAAATACTACAGATCATGACCTCGAAATTTAGACAAATGTTTTCAAAAACACCCTAAAATTCAAACACATAGCTTCTAAATTTCTGTTCCTCTCTACAACTCGAAATGCATTTTCAAAGTACAACGTACATGTATGGTTTCATTGTTAATTATTGTAAGGGCACTTGGTCCACAATTTATCTCATTTTTGTTTGATAAAAGAAGGAAAAAATTGCTTCGCTGCACTAATTGGCAATGCCTTTGAAACCGTACTTGAATTTTCACAGGCTTTATGTAGGCAATATTACAGGTGGCGGAAGGGACAATTTTGGGATTTTGATGGGAACAATGTAATCAGACCTTTTACAAACTGTACTTGCATCAGCTGAGGAATATCTTCAAATCTTAGGAAATCCAAAGACTTGAATGCATATATAATAATGGTTAATTTGTGTACGTTATTGTAGATGTTCAAATACATTTAGCTACTATATAAACGGATTTTCATGGATAAATTAGTGAAAAGCTATGTAAGAAATGTATGGTATATGTGAGGATAAGGGATCACATCACTTGGAAAATGTTCACTTTGGTCACGTTTCTGTTTTGGTGCATTATTTTTTCCATATAAAATCGACTTGGTTACGTGAACATTTAAGAAAGGTGCATATATTTGATCACAAGTGATCATTACATCGATTTAGAGTTTGTTTTAGTGATACTGTTAAGTAGCATGAGTGTAACACTTGACCAATATAATGAGTAACGTATCTGTTGGAATGGTAACGTATCTGTTTACGTTTTAAATAGGAGTAACGATTGGATTGAAAAAAGTGACATGCACGCTAGCGGACAAACTTTTGGCAGTATAAGTTAAATCCGCCTTGATGTTTAATTACGTCTGGAGCTTTTGTTAAGTTGTTTTCAATATAAAAGTTTGTTATAAAGTTACTTGTTCCAATTGTGTGAACAGATACAAGAACAAATGATATCCCTGTTTTAATGCAACATACCATACTTCTAACATATAGATCAAATTAATAGTAGTTAATCAAAACAAGTACAAATAACATACCATTTCGATTGAAGATACTGTAAAATTTGATTTGTATCTCTGGCTGGCAAGGTAACATATATACGTTACAATATGTTTCTCAACTTTAAAGCGATAAGGCGAGGTAGTATCTTTGTTGTGTTGCTGAAGAACGAATGTTTTGTACTGTAGATATGCATTAGTCGATGAAAAAAAAATATTTTCTAAATCTGATCCCATGAAAAGTGTTCAAAAGTTTAAAGTTCAAAAAATGAAACAAATATTGTTTTTGAATACATTGGTTTTGAATGATTTCCGTTCGAGACCAAATGCCTATTTCCATATACGATCAGAAAAACGTGTCAGCATTTGTTGCAGAAAAATGTCTGTTTGTATGTCTATCTTGGATTTGCGAATATGGAAAATTTGAAGAAGAAATAATTTTGTTTTGAAGAAGTACTTGATCACGTATCTGTTTTACTGACAATGACCTGTTGGGAATGGGCACTTCTGTTTTCAAATCTGGTGAATAGTCCTACACCTGTTACTCTTTTGAGAAAAAACCGAAATGTTCGCAATGTCATTTTCCACTTTTACTGTGTATGTATTGGCGCATGATAAGTGAGAATGAACGTTTATAGATTTGTACGACATCTCCTCTCAATCTTCTATATTCATTGAAATTCGCGTAATCATGTGTTCAAGCCTCCTATTAGCAATTTTGTTAATTTAAATAATAATATAGGTCCGTGTGGGGAAGATCTTCTATTATCATAAAAATTATAGCGATGAAGTGAAAGACACTTCTCCAAAACGATCGACCATATGTTTTTAACCCTGGTAAATACTAGCCGCCATCTATCGCTCGGCTAGAGAGACCTCTCTTTAGCGCGATCGGTTGAGCGTACGTATACGTAAGACTAATATTCTTTCTTCTTCTTTAAATTACGGAGGCTCCGTCAATTGTGACGTTTATGTCCTCGGGGATCCTATTGCTGAGGTGTGAAAAAGGGGTTATTTACAGTGATTAGTTGGGGGTTTTCTTTTGTGATTTTGTGTGCAAGGTATAGATAAAAGACACAAAAAAACCTGGAGTATGTTTTAGAGTGTGATGAGGGCTTCAAGGGCTGCATAGGGTAAGTATGCCTTGAAGTCCTCTAGTGTTGTGCATTGTACTGCTGCATAAGGTAGGAGATTCCATTGTGTTATTGTGTGTGGAAAGAATGATTATTTGTAGGTGTCCTTTGTAGCAGATATGTGTTTGGATGCGTGAGGATGTGCATGTCTGGTTCGAAGGTCGACCGGTGTGAGTATATGTGTTGGGTTTATGGCTACTGTTT